CTGGCAATATTTTCCTCTTTATTTCCACGCATCAATTACCTGTTTTCCGTCTCATTTACATACATCAAGTACGTCCTCACGTAATACGAAAGAATCTAATAGCTCGTGCATGGAAATTAAAATTTAATCTGAAAGCAAAAACTCTGACGTTTCTTATACATACAAACGTTTCGTTTACGAGTTGCGAACAAAAGTGTGCGTCTGTTTCGTCTTACTGTTTTCAGTTTTCCACTCTCCTTCATCCTGTACACTGTGTATAGATTAATTTTTAAGCTATCTTATTATATATATATATATATTAAATTCCCTTACAGGGACACACCACACCACCTATTATTAAAGTAATATATCTTCTCTTTATCTATGCCATTCACTGGTGAATAAATTATTGTAATCTAACGATAATCTTAGTCAAAGTTTCTTTAACGTTTATTGCATCGTATAATAAACTGATGCCCTCTAGCGGTATAACCACCAGAAATCTAATGATGCTAGTAGCGTCAGATGCTTTGAAAGATAAGAACCTGTAGTCAACAAGACTTGGATACCTGAAGCTATGCTATAGTATTACGTGGGAAAGTAAAGCTGAACTTTATTGTAAGGTGGCAGATGACAAGCGAGTTTTGAAAGTAACTTGATCATCTTTATCGACGCCTAAACTATCACACATTAATTCAGGTCTGGCCACAGAGACGAAGGAAAAATTGATAATACGTTTTTACCACTGAGACAAAAGACAGGGTGGTAATTCACCTGATCATTAAGACAAAAGGAGGGGTTTTTGAAACATCTGACCATCGAAACAAAATAGAGGTTGTTAAAACTTCTGATGGAAGACTGCCACACCATACAGTTTGTCTCTGTTTCCAAGTAAAAGTGTTATGGAATTGTACCTGCTGTAATCCACAAGTGAAGGAACAACATACATGTACATGTAGAAACTAATGTTACTAGCACAAACAAATTTTGTTATCCACAAGTGACAGGAAAATAGCACACGTAGAAATAAATTTTATGTAATTAGATCTTTTCTCTTACGCACTTTCATCAGTGTAATTATAGAATAATCAAATGTAAGGTTAATGGTAATTAAAAGTTCACCAGAGACACATTCAGAATCGCGAGTTATATTGAGCAGAGCTTGTACATAGTACAGTGTTTCAAAAACTGTTAGATCTGGCTTCTTTCATATGAAGCTACTGCAAATATCACCTGTTCCGGACAGATGCCCCCCCCCTCCACTGTGCCTCTGGTGAATTTTTTTTTCCTTAAGACAATCATTTCGTAAAGAATAATCCTTATTTCAATCATGGTGTTTTCTAAATAATTCTAAAATCGCCCTCTATGTTCGGAGTTAAAAGCTCAACTGATCTCAGCATATATGTAAAATATTCCAAGCTTTATATGCGTTATGTAGATACCTTTCTTTGTCTGTTAAGTGAATTCGAGTTTAAGTAAAGTGTGTACTTCGAGTTTTTATCTTATTAGTTATATACGCATACAGCTAGGACTAATCTATTAGTTATATATACATACAGCTAGGACTAATCTATTAGTTATATATATATACATACAGCTAGGACTAATCTATTAGTTATATATACATACAGCTAGGACTAATATATTAGTTATATATACATGCAACTAGGACTAATCTATTAGTTATATATATATACATACAGCTAGGACTAATCTATTAGTTATATATATACAGCTAGGACTAATCTATTAGTTATATATATATACAGCTAGAACTAATCTATTAGTTATATGTATACATACAGCTAGGACTAATCTATTAGTTATATATATACATACAGCTAGGACTAATCTATTAGATATATATACATACATACAGCTAGGACTAATCTATTAGTTATATATACATACAGCTAGGACTAATCTATTAGTTATATATACATACAGCTAGGACTAATATATTAGTTATATATACATGCAACTAGGACTAATCTATTAGTTATATATACAAACAGCTAGGACTAATATATCGTGTAAAATCGTCAATCTTTTGGGTTTTTTCATCTTCTGCTTTAAAAAAAAATGTTTTATTTATATCTATATATAAATATATTTTATAAAAAAAAACATAAAGCCTTTCGATGCGTTTAGATTATTATTGTAAGTTTTGTGTCCTCTTTCCTTTGGCATTTCAATCAATAAATTATATATAAAAAAACAACATATTTTATAGATAATAAAATTTCAAGAGTTTTGTATAGTTTGTATGCCTTTTGTAAGCGATATTTATTGAAATCGGTAGGTCAGCGGTAAGTTTACGGATTTAACAATGTTAAAATACCCCGCCGTGAACAAAGTGTAGATAACCTATCGTGTAGCTTTGCACTAAGAAAACAACAACTTCCGTTTCGTTCAAGTATATACCATTCCTGAAATTTTCTTCCGTTTCGTTCAAGTATATACCATTCCTGAAATTTTCTTCCGTTTCACTTAAGCTTAGATTTCGAGTTTGG